GTAAAACCAATACCTTCTCAGCTTCGCATCGAAGCTAAAATGACCAAAAACTATGGTAAAAACTAAACTTAATTTTTAGATGAACACGTGATAAAAGTACTACAATGTGTAATTATTATTATTATTTTTTAAATGACTTAATTATTTTTTGTATATTAAAAATCATTGCATGGTAGTAAGGTAATTTTGTGATAGAGTATTTAATTTCATTATTGTTCAATTTTAAGTTGCAATTACTAAAACTCATTATAAAATATTATAAGAATTCCAATAATATAATTGTAATATGTATTTTGATTATTTATAATAATAGTAAAGAAGTACTATAAATACAAAATTCGCTAATCGTGGTGTATATGTATACATACAATTTTTCAATATTGCACAATAAAATAACACTATTAACAAATTTTTAGCTAATATTATAATATTAAAAAAATATTTCCTTTTATTAGGTGAAATATTAATAAATTATATTTTTGAAATCATTATAACATTATCATTATGTGAATAATAAATTTATGCTTGTAAGATAAACAAATAAAATTTATATGGAATAGTTCAGCTTCATATTTTTTAAATAGTTTAAAATTTAACTTTAGAGATTCATTAGAAAATGATAAACTTGATGATCAGTCTCAATTTTAATATACTTAAAATAAAATATATCATGTGAATGAAAAACCATTTTTTTATTTATTTATTTGTTGTACGTGTATTATTTATTTTTCGGGTTTTTGGAAATCAGCAACTATTTCGAAAAATATATTTGATAGAACAAATCAGTATTTAGATTTGCAATAAATGTCAACATTTTTTTCGGAATCTTTTAAAATATCGCTGGCATCAAAATTTTTCTTATTTTTGTTGACTAGAGTTATTTATAATTCTTTGTATACATAACATTGCATAAAAAAGTAGAATACAAAATTAAAAGTTATGTAATTTTCAAGGGTTTCTAAATATATATATATATATATATATTTGTTTAATTTCCTCTAGAATGACTCTGACGTTAACAGAACGGAAATGTAATGTTGTAGAAAAATGTTTTATTGAAATTCATTTCGCATGTTAAAGCAGATTAATCGAGATAAATTAAAATGCTTCCTGATGTGTAGTTAATTAACTCACAAATTCAGACTTTTTACTGATCTTCAATTATGAAATGAAAAAACGAAAACAAGTAAGTCATTGTTATCGCAGACGTCCGTTTATTAAAAATCGTAAAATACATAACAAACTGATGGTACCTAAGTAATTTTTTCTTTCCAGCCTTGTCTTAATATACTTTTATAACGCCATAAAGAAAAACTCCTAGAATAAAAAACAGAAGTAAAACAATAAAAAGCAAATTATATTGTACTTGCGATCATAAAAATTACTCTAATTCTAAGTAATGTGACTATAATCATTTTTGCTTATAAAATATTAAACAGTTATAAAATGATAAAAATTTCACTTGCAACATTTAAAATTTGATGAACAGATTTAGATGAATTCATTGTATGAAAGAATGGTAGTCACCGTATTTCGTTTTTGTAAAAAAAATGAAAATGACCCTCTTCGTACAAGTTGTGCGAAGAGGGGTTGAAACATACTCGATATAAATTATAATTATATTAACCACTGGGGGATTTGAGCCCATTGTGTGTATAAAATTATGTACTATATATACTATTTTTTCGGTGTGGAGTACTTTTTCCTTCCAATCTGGTGACAGCAGGTGGTTTTGAACAGGTGAGCACCTGCGATCTACAGTTTGCGTGAACAAACATTACGTGTCGGAGTGACCCTCGTGTATTGCCAGTAAGGAGTCGATAGCTTGTATGATTAAATGACTAAAGTTGTCAAGGGCTGAATGAGTGCCAATGAAACTATATATACTCAGATAAGATCATCTAAATATGGCCTATTTAAGGTTAAGTTCAAATATATAAATTTCGATATTTTCTACTATAAATCGTAATGACAGTTTTTGTTTCAAAACATAAACTTTATAGTAGCGAAGACTGTGGCTGGTTGACACATTTTTTAATGATTTTGTTTCAATAATGTTTCAGATAAAGTAATATAGTTTTCTAAAAAATGCTAAAAATTTACTTTTTTTTATCTGAAAATTACATTTTTGTGATAAATATCTTAACTTGTTCCGTTTTTCTTTATATTTCCAAATTAATGCTAATTAACACTTAATAAAATTGGCAATTGTTGTATTGGTTGTAAACATTAAAATTTTCCAATAAGATGAACACCGCTAATAATTTTTACAAAAATATATTATATTGTACAAGATATTCAAGATATACAAGATATTCATAAAAATTATATATCGAAGGATATTTAATAAAACCAAACAATATCTCGGAAATGATTAGTATGGATTCAGAAAACAAAAGGGAACTAGAGAGGCAATATTAGGATCTTAATAGAAAAACAAATATCTCGAAATAAAATAACATGCTCATCATTTATACATATCAAAAAAGCTTTAAAAAACAGGAGAATTATATATAATCTCTACAAAAATCAAAGTGCAGAAATTACAATAAATAATGAGTCAGCTAGTGCAAAAATACGTAGAGGTGTAAGACAAGGATGCCCACTTTTACCATTATTATTCAATTGTTACATAGAAAAAAGCATAACCGAAGTTAAAGATAAACTTAACAGGCTTAGGATTAGAATCAAAGTGGGTGGTAAATTGATTGCAATGATCCGGTTTGCAGACGACATCGTAATATTAGCAGAAACAGAGCACGATCTTCAAAGAGCCCTGGCAGAAATGCAAATAATTATAAAAAAGTATCAAATGCGTAAATTCAGGTAAATTAAAAATTTTAGTTTGTGCTCGTGAACCCACAAATTATGCAAATTTTTATTTATAAAACCAACTTATTTATCAAGTTTCAAGTTTTAAATACTTGGGAAGTTTAATAACACCAGACGGAAGAAGTTCGTAGGAAATGAAACAAAGAATAGGGCAAGCAAAGACAGCCTTTATCTAGAAAAAGAAAATTTTGGTTTCGAAAAAAATTAGCAGAGCAATAAAGAAGACATTTTTAAAAACGTTTGTATGGGGTGTTGCTTTATACGGCTGCGAGACATGGGAAATTAATGAAAAGGAAAAAATATCCCTTGAAGCATTCGAAATGTGGTGTTGGAGATGAATGGAAAAAATAAACTAGACAGAAAGAGTAACAAATGAAGATGTACTGATCCAAGTTGGAGAAACAAGATCCATAATTTAAGCTATAAAGCGATGACGATGGGACACGTTTTACGCCATGACGAAGAATTGCACCATACTATTATAGAATGTGCAAATGAAGGATAAAAACCACCAGAAAGACCAAAAAACTCATACATATCTCAACTGAAAAATGATGCAGGGATTGATACTTGCACCGGATAAAAAGAATTGCTGAAGATCGTGATAAATGGAGAGCGAAGTTAAAAACGTTGTAAACCAACCTAATATAGGTTGAAAAAAAAATAAAATACAAGACACATCCCTGATATCTCTCTAAAAAAGAAAAACGAATCAATCAATAACTTGTGTCCAATAAAAGCTAATGACAGACATAAAAAAATTAATAATAACGCATCATGTTAAAATTAATAATTGCTCAGGTTAGCATCGAAGCAAAACAACTACTTTCTTTTTATAATTTAATTTAATTTTCTGAAAGAATCTAATTCACGAAGGATCTAATTTCTTATACCGTTTTTGTTAAAATGTTAGGGTAGCAATAATATTTATAAAAATGTTTTTATCGTGATGTGTATTATTTATTTATTTACTTAATTCCGTTTTTTGTCAATTATTCTGCTTCTATCAGATCAATATTGCTCAACAAAACGTCACAATACCATAAAACATATATTGTTGAAGTTATAAGCATAAGAACTTGAAAAAATTCCACTCAATCTCCGTAATAAAGAAAAATGTTCTAAAAAATGAAATTTTTAAAAAAATCATAGATGGTTGACATTTTCAATTTTCATTCTAAATACAAAAACTGCGAGGATAAAGTGAAATTTTTAAATGCAATATGTTAAACATTTATCGCGTCCTCGATATACTTTTTTATTATGAAATTCTATTATAAGCTTGAAAATATATAAAGACACTTTAACATCATATCAATTAATTTTTCTATAAATTTTTGATAATGTTTCAAAATATTAAATTTATTTAAACTTCTATTAAATTAAAGCTACTGCAATGTAACTTAAGAGGAAAATATTAATTTCTATGCGAATAATGTCAAAATTAATTCAATTTTCGGTAAAAGGTACCTATTTTGGAATAGTGATGGAATACCTACGTTATTTAAAATATATAAAATAAATGCTATTTTAACGTTTGTTATTATCTCTATTCATAATCCAAGTAATATTTGGTAGAATGATTAATGTTTTTTTTTATATTTGCGACAATTGTCTGAAAAATGCACGAAATTAAACATTTTCAATGATAATACTTCAAAAAATTAAATTTGTTTGTATATAATTTTTTTTTCAACCAATTTCAATTGATCTAAGCTCAAAATTTCGCAAATAACAGTAGACCATATAATTTTTTTTTCTTTTCGTATCTATATAATGTTCTAAAAACTTACGTTTATTAAACCTTTGTCAAATTAATCTCTATGCAATTTAATTAATATTGAAAAAACAAAAATGATTCGACAACTTATATCTATAAGTTTTATTTTCTTGATTTTAACACTAACATGATAAAAAAAAAAAAAAAAAATTTTAAGCAAAGAAAGTCATATTAATTTTATATGTCATTGTTTCTACTTAAGAGTCTAGTATAAAATTTATTTATAATAAAATATAATAGAATTTTATTTTTTATTTTGAGTTTTTCACTTTTCTTGCTCATCACCAATTAATAATAAATATTTTTTAAGAGAATGGGTTTTAATTTTAAATAAAATAAACCATGTTACATGAATTTTAAATTTTTATTTTAATATTTTTTATTCTACAACTAATCAAGGATACAATATAACTCAAGCTTTGATACAACGTCTATTTATACATTTCTAAAACTGTACAAATTTACTAATGTTTTTTAATCTAAATGATAAAAATAAATGATTAGTTATTTAAACAGTGTGCAATCGAATTTTCAGTGATGATTTTTTCGATTGCTACATTATATTACAAGATAACAAAAATAATAAGTATAATTTGTTTATTTTATGATACGATGTAATAATATTGTGTATGTCAAATTTTCGCGAAATAATAACATTTTTTGACAGTTTTAGAGACGTCTAGAGGAAAGAAACTGCCGAGTCATGTGCTTGTTTTGACAAATGATTTCAACAGTTTTCTTTGGAATAGGGTGAAAATAAAGAGTTTATTAATATATAGTTCAATATAATTGGACACATATTTTACGATTCAGTAAGTTTATGTAGTCTTTATTTTTCTAGTCTTTACTTGCGAACTGTATATGCCTTTTAATTATTAAAACATTAGGTATTCTAATTTTAGTACATAAACAAATGAATTTAGTCTACATAAAAAAATTATAGTTATATTGCACATTTCCATTTTTGCATTATACTGGTATTGAAGATCACAGTTTTGATGTCGAAAACGCAAAAAAATCATATATATTTTTCTATGGTTATTTATATACAAAAAGGTAAATTACTAAAAATGTCTTTGTACAATTACTAATTATTTACAATACTTAATTTTTCTAAAATTAAACCGGATAGGAGTTGTTTTAAGTGTTTCCCAGATTAAAATATATATATGCTTCAATCTACCTGTTCTTGTTCTTACATATTATTTGTAGTGCATTTTATGTTAGATTCTTACTGGGTGTTAAAAAAATTTTTTTCGAGAAATATAAAAAGTAGTAGTATGTCATAAGTAGTTTTTGGTATATATATATATATATGTTACGTCCAGTTGACAAAGAAAAGGTAAAAAATTAAATCAACTTGGCGTCAAAATAAATTTACTGGCAGATATTCGTATATTTCTGTTTACTAACTTAAAAATACTCTATTTATTTGTTATTATTCGTAAATATTTGTATTTAAATTGAACAAAAAGAGCGAATTATTATTTAAATTACTCTTGAATAAAAATTAATTGAAAAATTGAAAATATTATTCGAATGTTATGAATTTTTTCTAAAACTATATTTTGACGTCTAAAATATTCAATTTTTTCATTAATTGTTTGCAATGTTTTTTCTAGGAATACGATAAAATTATCATTTTATATAATTTTCATTTGAATGTATTTTTGTATTAAAAAATTGAATCAACCATAAAGTCTAAATAAAATGGACATTTCTTAGTGTAAAGAAGTTAATAAATAGTAACTATAAATTACATAAATCCTATACAATGATAATATTAATTTAAATCATTACTCTAAAATTTGTTCAACCAAATTAAATGAGCACATAATTAGGAAAGGGAATACGAATTTTAACTCAGTCAATGCTGAGCAGCAAACTTCATACGTTTCTGTTTTTGTCTTTGGTTACAAAACCATACCCTTACAACATTTTTTTTCAAGTCTAACTTTTCAGCAATGGCTGCGATTTTTTCCCCTGACGGCCTTGGCTGAACAGCAAAATAAGCCTCCAAAGACCGTTTTTCGGGCGCTGCTATCGACGTTCGTTTTCGTTTTTTCTCGCCTGCTGGTAATACGCTTGGAGCATCTGGGTCCCGACGCTTGTTTTTCGCCTGTGCCTCTGCTTCTTCTAGCCAAGCTTGAAGAATGGGCTTTAAGGCGATCATGTTATTGTGAGACAAAGTGAGAGATTCGAACCGACATATTGTGCTTTGAGAGAGGGCTCCAACACCTGGTAGTTTTAGGTTGGCGAGCGCCTTACCGACATCGGCTTGTGTCACACCAAGTTTGATGCGTCTTTGTTTAAAACGTTCAGCGAACGCCTCTAGTTCTCGTGGGTCCGTGTCGGTGTCAGGATGCTGTAGTCCAGCGCCTCCGCTGGCGCTTATCATCCCGACTGCAGCAGCTGCTGCTGCAGCTGCTGCGTGGTGATGGTGATGATGGTGGTGATGATGAGGATGGCCGTTTGGACCGCCACCTGAGTGAGGATGATGATGATGATGGCCGCCCATCATACCTGCGCCATAGACGCTAGGGTGTAGCGGACCGTGAGTAGAACCGTCGGACATAGGTGTGAGTGTAGTCATTGTCGATGACGAAATGGGTTCCAGCAGGTCGAGGCCATCCATACCAGGATGCATCTGAAAAAAATAACAAACATTTTTTATGAAAATTAAACTTGGCGTATTTTACAAAAAATCATTTATTCACTTTAGATTTTTATAAATTTGTTTGTCCTGTAAAAGTTAAATGTGACTCGGATAGGATAATTTAAAAATAGCGATTTCCCAAGAAATGTTCACACGCTGATTTAAATGCTCTAGAAATCACTACATTAAGAAGACATTTTGCTAGTAAATTATTTATTATAATCTAATCTATAAAATGGTTATCTCGAATTATATTTTTATCTGTTAATTGTTAAAAAATGTTTCGTTTATTATAATAAAAAAAAAGTATTTATTTTCTTATGATATTAATGCAGTCCGTCCTAAGGTTTAACAATTTTTTTTTAAAGAAAGTAACTAGAAATATTCGGTGAATCAAAATTTATAGTATTTGCCAGTACTTAGTGTGGGACACTTTATATATGAATTAATCATTGGCATGGTCGTGTTTATTTCGGCAAAAGGAATATGAATTAAAAAAATATTTACTATCCACTTCAACGAATATAGAAATTTATCTTTAACGCAACTTTATTTTTGATCATGAAATAATCTTTGAACTCTATCATCTTTCTGGACAAGCTTTTCATATCAAAGATAGAGGTCGATTTATGTACTGTTTTAAAGATAATTGTATTTGTTTTGAAATACAACGGAATACAAATATTTAAGCAAAGGTAAAAAAAAAATACTTCAGTATATACGTGATCAGATTTCAAAAACGTATTCGAACAGTAAACAAAATATAGGATATCAGGTGACATCATACCGAGTGAAAATTTTCATTTAAAAATTCATGTTTGTTTTATGTAAAATAAAAACGTGAAAAGGGAGTGTGACAGTGGCAAGAATCCCAGAGAGACAAACAGAGTTTTACATATGTGCGAGCGTGTGACAGCCGAACCGTGAAGCTGGCTACCGTTCACAGGGGAAAATTGTCACTTTCCAGGGCAGCAGTCGAGTAGGTTAGTAAATGCACATACTTCTACGGCTCTGTGGGGTCGCACTACAGTTGTTTAGAAGCCTCGAGGTTGAGAATTGAGCGCCAAGAGTGGCTGGGAGGCGTCAGTGGAGAGGTTGTTGGTTCTAACGGTATGAATGGATACGGAAGGGTGTATGTTGTCGTCGAAGGGATGAAACGGCAAACGCAATCGAATGAATAATTGATTTGGATTGTTATTATACACACACACACATACGTAGACACGCGCGTATGGATACACTTGGCGGGCAGCCCTTGTCATCGTCGTCGTTTACCCCTTTCGATTGGTTACATCGAAGTACACACAAACACTCGCGCTTACGGATACATGTTGTACAATATGTATATGCTCTCTATAATACACTCATGTCCCGGCGCGTTTCGGTAATGAGGTAATCGGGTACGCACGCCACACAGTTCGACCGGTTAGTCACAGTCCCCGCGCGTCATATATTTCATCATTAACTCTCATCTGCTGCCACTTTCCTCCGGCAGCATATCTCACTGTAGTACCGAGTACAGTCGAAAATACGGCTGTTGCAGCGGTGTACATTGGCGACCGTGTAATGTAGTGGACAATTCCGCTGGGAGAGCAAGCGTGTGTTTCTAAGTTGGGGTGGAAAGAAAAAAGTGTATAGTCAAAGTTAATGGATTGACAATATTGACGAAAGGACTACGTTCGACTTGAATCGAATTTTCGTACGGCCGAAACAAATGGTGTTTTTATGTGATATCAATATAACGTAATACCATAACGCTTATGACTCTTGTTATCTATTACACGTATTACCGAGCGAGGAATTTCTCGGGTACAAGTTTTATTGAGATGCTCAGTTATCTGTCAGTGAACATCATTAGGTTTGTCCGTTGTTTTATCGTAGGCAAATTATTTTATTTTCAATTGTAGAACAAAATGTGATATGCATTTTTAACCGACCATATAAATATTAATTGTATTTGAGGTAAAAAGTGTAGTTGCTCTCAGTATCATCTTTGAAATGACCATATTTCATATTATTCCAGTAATAATGATTTTTCTAACAATAACTGGTTAAAAAATAACTTTTAATTTATCTTTAGCATCACGTGATCGTTTCTACAGCACACCAACAAATACCATTTGCAGAAATTGTTAATTAATAATTATTACAACAGTTTTACAACTCAATATTTACTATTGTTTCCGTTCTCGAAACATGCAAGTTTTTGTTGAATTAAATTTAACTTTTATTAAGTATTTCAATTACATTATGCATTACTGTTCAAACTTGAAATTTTATAAGATATTTTTTTTCAAGTTCAGTTATTTGAAAGACTGCCCCAATCTAAAAATCATTGTTACACCGTGGTGTGTAGCAACCATTTAACAGCAGTGGAATAAAAAATGTTATTAGATGGAAATTATTTATAATCAGAGATTAAAAACTTTATAATGACTTTATGATTTTAAAGTTAATAGCAAAAAATTAAAATTATATAAAAACGGACAATTTAGTTAAACATAAAAGATACATTACAATATTAAATATTAAATAACGCGAAACATTAAACAAATTTAATATAATTATTTTTATCCTTAAACGTAGTATTGCGTTTTAATAAAATTGTAAACATTTATAAAACAAATTACCTAAAATTAAATGTTATTACAACATGAGAATATAGAGTGATTTGTTTTATTAAATATTTGTTTTTCAAAAGCAGCAATACATTATACAATTTAAAACAACTCATAAAATTATGTTTAAAATCAATTTAAGTAAAAATATGTAAAATAAAATAATAGCTAAAAGTTGATGAACAATAAAAAATATAAATCAATAGTAAAAATGAAATGAGAACATTATTTTATAAAAAAGTTAAACGTAAAGAATAAATAATGTTTCAATGTCACAAAATATTTTATGCAAAAGTAGGTAAATTTTGTAAAATTGTTAAATTTAAAAGCTTAATTATCATTATTATATGGCAAAACAAAAAATAAATCAATATTGTAAAACTTAAGCCCTGTTTATAATATTCAAAAAAATTTTCATGAATATGAGTAACTAAAATCTATAATGATGATTTTTTTATATTTTAAACATATTTTGCTGATATCCACGCAGTCCGAATGGTAACCGGTAAAAGTATCCTGTGAAAAAATAACCGAAAAAATGTTTATAGGAAAGAGAAATGTTCATATCCGAGTTTTAAAATATCTTATGAATAAGTATCAAGATGTTATAAATGTTTATCACAACCAAACTATTATAATAATAATGGCGTGTCCTTTTAAAAGTTGTTTTTAAAAATCTTTCTACATTTCTCGTTTTATTATTATATCCTTTGCATAACCTTTACAGTTTTATTTAAAATTTTTCAACGTTAATTTTTTTTTTTATGTAACATTGCTCATTATGGTTGAACCTATTAACCGCATACTATTTACCACCACTTCTTAACTAATTTTTTCCACCAACAACTAAGACATTCGATGGTATGGAACTTAGAAACCCTATGATGCCATCCTTAAGTACCGTTGTACAGTGTATGTATATTACACAACATTTTTATTTTTGTTGGACAAAATTATCTTCATTTTTACAAAATACTTATAAAATATGTGAAAAAATTCATATTAATAATGGAAAGTTGGACTTTGGACCAATTATTTTTATTATTATACATTTATTTTCAGTATTATTACAATTTAATTGCAATTGGTCGTATTTTAATATTTTGCCATTTTTTTTTTTATAGAGAAATAATACCCGGATTTTTTTCCGAGTTTCACGATGCAAATTCAAATTGTCCAGCAGTGAAATTTAAGTAGAATATTCTGAATTCTTAGGTGTTTTACTTTTTCTGTTGATTTTTAATAACGTTTTAAATAAAAATATTTTGTGTGTTGTGCCATTTTTTATAATAAATCACACGTTTTTAGTAAAAGTAATTCGTAAGAAATATTAAGAATTGGACGATTAAAAAATCAAAATAGCAAAAATTATTCATATCTAAAACATAAATATGTTCTACGATTATTGGAGAACTTGTGCGTAATACATGGAATAATTATGATCACATGAACAATCAAATATTTTTACATTTTTTTTAAATTATGTTTTTTTAATATTCTTGTATTTATTACTATTATTAATCCTTTTTATTTAATAGTTTATTTAAATAATCAATTACCTGATGACCTCGATGGTTTTGGCTGCCTGAGTGTCCACCCATTCCATGATGATGGTGATACGATGACATAACATCATGTTTGATTTGTGTCAGGGGTCCAGGTGAACCAGTCGAACCAGGTCCTATTGAACCATTACCCTGATTTCCATTGTTACCATTACCCGGCCCAGGAGATTGATGATTATGGTGGTGATGATGTTTTCCCATATCTACTGCTGCCAAGACCTCTGCTCTACTGAGTAGACCATCGTTGAGACCACCAAATAGATCACCCTATAAACACAGTTTTATCATAAATTATTCATGACTAAAATATAAAAATAATGGCTTGCTTAAACTTTAATAGAATATGTGTTTTAACTATATTTTCGTATTCATGGCATTTTATCATTATAAAAATTCACTACTGAAAATAAATAAAAAAAGCAATATCATAAAAATAAAATTCGAAAAATTTAATGTATTGACTTGGTACTCGATAAAATTATTTTATTATACATCAAAATAATGAATATCAAATAAGAAAATTATTAATATCAATATTACACAATCTTTCAAATAATTTATTTTAGCGTAGGAGGCGTTAAAAAAATTGATAAATGAAAAAGTAAGAAATTATAACAGACACAACTATTCACATTCAAATACTGTTTTCTGCCATTTAAACATACACTAGCCACAAAAGACCTTTTCTATAAAATTTTTCAATGATTTATATACTTTAAAAAATATCTCAACATTTATAGTACCTAAATATGCACAAAAAATATTATTTTTATTAAATTGTATGATTATTATTTTTTAATAAACTATTAATTATTTATAAGGCAATCTTTTAATAAACAAACAACTTTTATGTATATGTGTACTACTAATTATCGATTTATAGAAACTTAGTGTTTACCATGTTACAATAGTTAGAAAAAGGGTAAGTTTTCATGAAATATTTATGATTTACTGACTCGACTTCTTTTATACATCACTATTCTGTTTTTTATAAATTTATATTTTCTAAAAAGTTAAAAAATTTAAATATTTAATTTAACAGAACCGAATTGTAATGACAAAATTGAGAACTACAATTTCATGTCAATTTTAGTGTGCAATTTTTATTAGAATAATTGATGTGCTAGAAATAATCTATGCAAAACACATTCATTAATTAAATATATAACACATATATTTATTGTATGAGCAAATATAAAGATTAACGAAAGTAACCTGGTAAACAAGGAAAATTATAATGGATTTTTTAAAATAAATTTAACTTTTAAAAATATATGGATGCATTAAAAATCCTATTGAAACAAAATTGTTAATATATGACATTAGCTTAACTTGAAGATCAATGAGAGTGCTGCAAAATTTCCAAATTCTAAATCAAAATCCCAAAAATTAAAAAAATTATTTTTACTTATACATAAAAATATTTTTTGGACGAGGAAAAATAAATGTTTAAGCCTAAAAATGTAATTATAGTTGTGTCTACTAATATTGATTAAAATAAACAATAATTTTAATTTGAAAGTTAAGCATGCTAGTAAGGAAAATAAAACTTAATAGTAATTACTGTCAAATTTAATATTATGAATTATTCACAAATTCATACAATTTTTTTTTATGATTTCATTTGATCTTATTATGAACACTATTAATACTGTATAAAAGGAAATAAAATAACCATGGACGCTTAATCGCATATATATATTTTTTTCAATTATTTTACTATATACATTCAAGTTGATACTTTGGTAATGTGCATTTGATTTAGGTTATTACCAAAATATTTTGTAGTGGATCTTCAAGTATATGTGCGAAACTTGAGTTCCACTAAATATTTTCTCTCAGCTTTATAATTTAAGTAATATTCCACTTTGCGAGTTCCTATGCTCATATAAAGTCTATAGGTGAGACTAGGGGAGAGGTAGACAACCAGAAGGGCACAGATATAACCGGAGCTCATTTATTATTAACTATAGACGCGAATGGGACGGTTTTAAGGCTGCTTGTGTGTTCTTTACCCTCACCGTTCAGCCTACCGAATAAAGTCCTTTTAATTCCTATTCCCGAGGCCACTTTGCGACGACAAAAACCGAAAACCCCCTGCATTTTGTTGATGATTTTTAGTTTATAGTCACCGAGTTCTTTTCACTTGCTTCGTCTTTACTCCCGAGAGTCTTGTTCCCACTCTAGAAGGTTTTTTTTAATGTTTCGCCTAATTGTCTTGTCCTCTCAACAAAGATGAAAGAAATAAAATAATAAAATAATTCGAATTCTCGCCATAGTAACGATTTTTTAATTTATGTTGATGCTTGAATATACAATATGCTGGAAAACAAATATGCGTGTTGTTTTAATAGAAAAAATGCCCCTTTACTTAACTTTAAAGTTCTACGAAAAATATCACGAATACGGCAATCCGCCTAATCATAATTCTATCTTATTTCATCTTTATTTAGAAATAAATTTTCAAGAGCACATATAAATGTCCTAAAACCTAATTGGATTTATTTTTAAATCAAAATTTTATTTTTAGTTGAATATTTCTATATTAAGTTTTGGTTTTTATTTATTTTAATATTTTTAATTGAGTCACCCTATTGAATAAAATTAATTAATAAACAAAAATTATAGAAAAACGTACATTATGTCGTGGAGACCAGGTGTTGCACATGAATGAGGACGCATCCTCTAGAATCCGGCTCTGAAAATATTAAAATTTGGTTAAATTCGAAATTTTATTTTTAAAGAATTCTAATGGTTAACTAATGGATGATAATTTAAAAAATGCCATAAAATTAACAATTAAAAAAATGACTTTGGAAATACTATTCATTTATACGTAACAGAACTCTGACGGGCGTTCGATATTTTTATCTTTGATGCGTTTAAGAATTAAAACGCAAAAATTGTTCATCAATTATTCAGGTATAGTTTTACGCTGATTTATTTTCCCATTAAATATTAAAATTTCGCTATCCTCAGACTCTACTCTCTGTGGTATAATATTAAACAGGTAAATATTGCACATTTTTGCAACTATCAAACTACGAATTTGTTGTTCGATTAAACATCAGGAAATTATAAAAAAAACAACTCATGATTATAACTGTATGGTACAAGTAATTGAATTAAGCTAATTGTTTGAAAATGAAGTTGCATAACTTTATCAGATAGAGCAGCAGGTCTAATTGTGCTTAAATCAAGATATGGGAAGGGTATATTTGCGTCACATGTCATTTTTCCATTTGTCCGAGTTCGGTGATAATCACCCGCACGTGCGTCGCACACGTAGATGACAGCCCTCGAAACAGAATTCAGTTAGCGCTTGACAGACGGCCGTGTGTGCAATTATTACCACAACTAACAGACATTTATTTTGACATGATAATGTTTTTTTTTTTTTTGCTGGAGTGTAAAATCATTTGTTGTACTTGAAAAACGCCACACGAAAAACTGTATATTTAAATCGCCTGTGATCAGATAGTATTTTTGAAAATTTTGTCGGTGGCCAAGTGCAAAAAACAGCCAAGTATTTTTTTTGTTGAAATTATAACACTATGTTAACCTAAGAGTAAAATATAAGTTTAAAATGTAAAAAACACAGTATTTGGGTTACTATATTGCATTAAAAGAGTAATTATATAAAAGATGATTTAAGTAAAGTTTTCAATTTGTTTTCCAATAAGAAGGCAAAAATTCACTCGTATAAATAATTCAAAATTGATTATTTCTTACAATAAAATTCGAATAACAAACAAACGAAAAGTAAAAGAAAAACAGTCCAGGAGGCAATGCAATTCGTAGGCTTTTTATACGAAAATATTTCGCCCGACTTTTTTTGATGTATTGTATTTTTTTGATCAACATTTTTCTCATCAATAAATCACTAAAATTTATGTGTTCCGAACAATATTTAATGGATAAAAAAAAGGTTATTCATGTTTAAAATTTAAAAATAGCTTAATTTCAAATAAAAACTATTATGAGCAATATAAGACTTGTAACACAAATTTCTAATTCCAGGACACACTTAGATTCTAAGAAGACACACTATTTTAGGTCCTTAAAGAATATACAAGAGTTTCAATTAAATATTAAACACAGATAATACATAATATCAAATGCTAACAATGAACATTTTTTCAAGCTTTGTGTAATAATAACAATTCCGAAAAGTCCTGTACAACTAATATTAAAAATCTAAAAGAACCCATTTACTTTGTAATCATGTTTTTTTTATAGTTCTGATCCTTTTTATACTTATGTTTTTACTATATTTTTAAAAGTAGAAATGTATTTATACATCTAAATACATGTACCGGTAAAATTATAGGTATATTTTGTCAATATTAATTCAAGAACTTTTTTGCTCCACACGCACCGGTAGGTCGGAATCCGATCAATAATATATGAATGGAGGAGTGAACAAAACATTAGTATATAAAAGTTAAAAAATATCATATCTTGTAGAGGCAAACGTTTAAACTATATTTTCCATAAAAATACCTGCAAACATATATTAGGATTTATCCTGACTTGGGTTTTAAATATCATGAATTATTTAAATAAAATAATTTTAATATAATATGCGTGCTTTTTTATTAGTATTTACTATTAGTAGTATAAAATTTCAAATCATAAAATAATTACCTCGAGTAGCGATTTTGTATAAATATTGAAGCAATAAGACGGTACATAAAAACTTTTTACACTATTACCATGCGTACTATAGTTTTTTTTTACCATTGTTAGCGTTATTATATTTATATTTTTATCAGTATTATACAACTTGAACAATAATAATTTTTTTTTTTCTATAACTACATAATAGTCAAAAAATGATAAAAACTACATATATAATGGTTCTTAATTTTTGAACCAAAAATACTTGATTCTTAAGAGTAAATATAATTTTTCAACTATCCATTGTTAGTGTTGTTGATGTTGACAAAAGTGCTAGCACGTTACATTATTAATGTTAATTTAATAATTGGAAGTATTTAAGTTAATTGGTTTGTATGCATTTTTTGAATAAATACTTGTTTGGGAAATTATAATTTGTTATTAGTTATACTTTATAGGTTGAAAAAAAAATAGGAGAGTATATTTATTGTGTTAATTGACGAATAAGTTCTTATTGAATACTCCAAGATGATTATTTTGCAAGTACATAAAAAAAGTGAAGACTTTTTTTTTTGTGTTATTAACGCTTAAAAGTAATGATAAAATACTCTTAAAACGGCTTTAAGGCTTTACTCAGTCGTGTAATTTATAACACTATTTAAGAGTTAATATTTAAGCCCTCACTAATAAGAAGAACTTTTTGCACAATTATAGAAAAAGTTTTTTATTGTACAGATGTTTACCCTCAAATTAAAAATGATGAAAATTTAGACAGAGGATTTTTATGACTTGAGATTATGTTAGTAAATAGAATGGGGAGCGACATGAAATAAAGATCTAAATGGGTGCTAAATCTTGAAAATGCAAAGCAAAAAAATTTAACGGCATGATTAATAAATTATTTAAAATGCTTCCACTAGCGACATCAATCACCCTTAAAAAAAGGAAAAGCTCCCTTCTGTTGTAGATAATTTGACGTTATTGGCCTTACCGAAAACCGTTTTTTAAGCTTGTATTATTTTAACATTTTCTCCGCCTTGTTCCTCCGACGTACTTCCGTGACGGCTTCTGACACTTAAGTTAAACGTCGCCCTTGTCACGTTTTGGATTCATTTGTCTTAAATAAAATGAACGAAAGAAAGGAAATAAAGGTTGACATATTTTCTCATACCAAATTTGATTATGAATTCAGTTCTTCGACAAATAAAAATCTTCGACTCTAATTAAATTACGAATAAAATCAAAATTTGTATACATCCACATTATTTTTTTGGTTTTCCTACAGAAAAGTATAATGTCAATATGTTTACATAAACAATTTAAGTTTATTTAACTATTTGTTTGAATTTTAGTTCTATTTTAGAATAAAATTACGGTTAGCAAGAGAACTTGTTTACAAGAACTTTTAATAGTAAAAAAAATTATGAGCGTACAAATTTGGATAGTATTCGTATTTCATGATACACAATAATTTCACGTATCATAGAAAACACAATATATTTACAAAGATAACGATTTCTCATTTTTCTCACTCGTACATTTTGTATAACTTCCAATTATCGCTTTTATGGTTTCATTGTTTTTTAGGTATTTGTACAAAGGGTAGATATTTATATGAAGGTTTGCATAGCGACTTAACTTGTTTGATGCACTCAGCCACTTAGTACGATTGACTCGTGTAGTCGAGTTCGCGCCTGCCAAAGTCATACGTGCGCCGACTTAAGCAAAGGAGAATTACATGTTGTCCGTATGATCTTTGCTACATATGAATTCATACGCATATAGACACGTGCGAAAAAAGTAAATTTTACATGAGAGAGCTGTTTTGGGCAAGCAAAAATACCCCGTAGACGTAACCTCGCGGTGTTTCTCTCACGACGGTATATGCCGTCGTTTAATAAATTGGAAAACTCAATGGCATGCCGGGAATATCAAAAACGTTTATATGCGGTGGGTCCGCATAAATTCGTATTGGGATAACGAAGCTGTACGCTGTCGTTGTATTAAAAGGTTCGTCCCGAGTATTCCGGTCACGAAAACCAATTCGGGACCATCCCCTCTCTGCAACGGCGTCTTCACCCTTCCACACAGCTGGGGGTCGTGGCGGGGAGGGGTGGAGCGTCGATGGACCAATTGACGGGCCGCGCGGTGTGCCAGGGTCTCGCCGTCATCGATCTCGGCGCCATTTGCCGAGCCCGTCCGTGCCGCCGAGACCCGTGACGTTTTTATCGGCACGCCGCAAATTGATCGTTGCGTACGAACCGGCGGTTTAACGTTAAGTGTCCCGTGCCGCCTCTCCTGCACCCCCAACCGTATCCTCCCGAGGGGTGTAAGGGGTTGACCAAGCCCGTTAATTCACACGTCACTTGCGCCATACGGACCGTCATGTTTTTTAAATCGTGAACAAATAAAATTTAAGCGCAATGAAGGGGTGTTTGTTGTTGGTGGTTAATATTGCACTTATGTTGGTTTCTGACCTAAAATACATCTGATATTTAAATTAGTTATAATAATTCAGTTATTGTTGGAATTATTTAGTGTCGAATCAAGGTGAGCGAGGGAATCAAGATAAAATGTATAAAAAAGACCAAATGGAAAATTGTGTAATTCATTTAAACCATTTTCACACAATAATTTGTAGATTTATATTTATAATGTGCAGAAAGTGTTGAAATACTACAGAGATATTGATAACGATTCCTCTATGAGAGTATCATCGTTATCAATTAATATTTTGCTAATTAGTACGTAATTTTGAGGTATTCATTGACTGTGAAAAACCTCCGTGAAGACACCTTTGATTCATTTGGAGGTCTTTAAAGTTGAAATAGTCAAAGTTTCATGAATAAATTATTATGTACGCTTTTATTTTGACAAATTACATTATTTTTACCTGATCNTTTATTTAGAAATAAATTTTCAAGAGCACATATAAATGTCCTAAAACCTAATTGGATTTATTTTTAAATCAAAATTTTATTTTTAGTTGAATATTTCTATATTAAGTTTTGGTTTTTATTTATTTTAATATTTTTAATTGAGTCACCCTATTGAATAAAATTAATTAATAAACAAAAATTATAGAAAAACGTACATTATGTCGTGGAGACCAGGTGTTGCACATGAATGAGGACGCATCCTCTAGAATCCGGCTCTGAAAATATTAAAATTTGGTTAAATTCGAAATTTTATTTTTAAAGAATTCTAATGGTTAACTAATGGATGATAATTTAAAAAATGCCATAAAATTAACAATTAAAAAAATGACTTTGGAAATACTATTCATTTATACGTAACAGAACTCTGACGGGCGTTCGATATTTTTATCTTTGATGCGTTTAAGAATTAAAACGCAAAAATTGTTCATCAATTATTCAGGTATAGTTTTACGCTGATTTATTTTCCCATTAAATATTAAAATTTCGCTATCCTCAGACTCTACTCTCTGTGGTATAATATTAAACAGGTAAATATTGCACATTTTTGCTACTATGAAACTACGAATTTGTTGTTCGATTAAACATCAGGAAATTATAAAAAAAACAACTCATGATTATAACTGTATGGTACAAGTAATTGAATTAAGCTAATTGTTTGAAAATGAAGTTGCATAACTTTATCAGATAGAGCAGCAGGTCTAATTGTGCTTAAATCAAGATATGGGAAGGGTATATTTGCGTCACATGTCATTTTTCCATTTGTCCGAGTTCGGTGATAATCACCCGCACGTGCGTCGCACACGTAGATGACAGCCCTCGAAACAGAATTCAGTTAGCGCTTGACAGACGGCCGTGTGTGCAATTATTACCACAACTAACAGACATTTATTTTGACATGATAATGTTTTTTTTTTTTTTGCTGGAGTGTAAAATCATTTGTTGTACTTGAAAAACGCCACACGAAAAACTGTATATTTAAATCGCCTGTGATCAGATAGTATTTTTGAAAATTTTGTCGGTGGCCAAGTGCAAAAAACAGCCAAGTATTTTTTTTGTTGAAATTATAACACTATGTTAACCTAAGAGTAAAATATAAGTTTAAAATGTAAAAAACACAGTATTTGGGTTACTATATTGCATTAAAAGAGTAATTATATAAAAGATGATTTAAGTAAAGTTTTCAATTTGTTTTCCAATAAGAAGGCAAAAATTCACTCGTATAAATAATTCAAAATTGATTATTTCTTACAATAAAATTCGAATAACAAACAAACGAAAAGTAAAAGAAAAACAGTCCAGGAGGCAATGCAATTCGTAGGCTTTTTATACGAAAATATTTCGCCCGACTTTTTTTGATGTATTGTATTTTTTTGATCAACATTTTTCTCATCAATAAATCACTAAAATTTATGTGTTCCGAACAATATTTAATGGATAAAAAAAAGGTTATTCATGTTTAAAATTTAAAAATAGCTTAATTTCAAATAAAAACTATTATGAGCAATATAAGACTTGTAACACAAATTTCTAATTCCAGGACACACTTAGATTCTAAGAAGACACACTATTTTAGGTCCTTAAAGAATATACAAGAGTTTCAATTAAATATTAAACACAGATAATACATAATATCAAATGCTAACAATGAACATTTTTTCAAGCTTTGTGTAATAATAACAATTCCGAAAAGTCCTGTACAACTAATATTAAAAATCTAAAAGAACCCATTTACTTTGTAATCATGTTTTTTTTATAGTTCTGATCCTTTTTATACTTATGTTTTTACTATATTTTTAAAAGTAGAAATGTATTTATACATCTAAATACATGTACCGGTAAAATTATAGGTATATTTTGTCAATATTAATTCAAGAACTTTTTTGCTCCACACGCACCGGTAGGTCGGAATCCGATCAATAATATATGAATGGAGGAGTGAACAAAACATTAGTATATAAAAGTTAAAAAATATCATATCTTGTAGAGGCAAACGTTTAAACTATATTTTCCATAAAAATACCTGCAAACATATATTAGGATTTATCCTGACTTGGGTTTTAAATATCATGAATTATTTAAATAAAATAATTTTAATATAATATGCGTGCTTTTTTATTAGTATTTACTATTAGTAGTATAAAATTTCAAATCATAAAATAATTACCTCGAGTAGCGATTTTGTATAAATATTGAAGCAATAAGACGGTACATAAAAACTTTTTACACTATTACCATGCGTACTATAGTTTTTTTTTACCATTGTTAGCGTTATTATATTTATATTTTTATCAGTATTATACAACTTGAACAATAATAATTTTTTTTTTTCTATAACTACATAATAGTCAAAAAATGATAAAAACTACATATATAATGGTTCTTAATTTTTGAACCAAAAATACTTGATTCTTAAGAGTAAATATAATTTTTCAACTATCCATTGTTAGTGTTGTTGATGTTGACAAAAGTGCTAGCACGTTACATTATTAATGTTAATTTAATAATTGGAAGTATTTAAGTTAATTGGTTTGTATGCATTTTTTGAATAAATACTTGTTTGGGAAATTATAATTTGTTATTAGTTATACTTTATAGGTTGAAAAAAAAATAGGAGAGTATATTTATTGTGTTAATTGACGAATAAGTTCTTATTGAATACTCCAAGATGATTATTTTGCAAGTACATAAAAAAAGTGAAGACTTTTTTTTTTGTGTTATTAACGCTTAAAAGTAATGATAAAATACTCTTAAAACGGCTTTAAGGCTTTACTCAGTCGTGTAATTTATAACACTATTTAAGAGTTAATATTTAAGCCCTCACTAATAAGAAGAACTTTTTGCACAATTATAGAAAAAGTTTTTTATTGTACAGATGTTTACCCTCAAATTAAAAATGATGAAAATTTAGACAGAGGATTTTTATGACTTGAGATTATGTTAGTAAATAGAATGGGGAGCGACATGAAATAAAGATCTAAATGGGTGCTAAATCTTGAAAATGCAAAGCAAAAAAATTTAACGGCATGATTAATAAATTATTTAAAATGCTTCCACTAGCGACATCAATCACCCTTAAAAAAAGGAAAAGCTCCCTTCTGTTGTAGATAATTTGACGTTATTGGCCTTACCGAAAACCGTTTTTTAAGCTTGTATTATTTTAACATTTTCTCCGCCTTGTTCCTCCGACGTACTTCCGTGACGGCTTCTGACACTTAAGTTAAACGTCGCCCTTGTCACGTTTTGGATTCATTTGTCTTAAATAAAATGAACGAAAGAAAGGAAATAAAGGTTGACATATTTTCTCATACCAAATTTGATTATGAATTCAGTTCTTCGACAAATAAAAATCTTCGACTCTAATTAAATTACGAATAAAATCAAAATTTGTATACATCCACATTATTTTTTTGGTTTTCCTACAGAAAAGTATAATGTCAATATGTTTACATAAACAATTTAAGTTTATTTAACTATTTGTTTGAATTTTAGTTCTATTTTAGAATAAAATTACGGTTAGCAAGAGAACTTGTTTACAAGAACTTTTAATAGTAAAAAAAATTATGAGCGTACAAATTTGGATAGTATTCGTATTTCATGATACACAATAATTTCACGTATCATAGAAAACACAATATATTCACAAAGATAACGATTTCTCATTTTTCTCACTTGTACATTTTGTATAACTTCCAATTATCGCTTTATGGTTTCATTGTTTTTTAGGTATTTGTACAAAGGGTAGATATTTATATGAAGGTTTGCATAGCGACTTAACTTGTTTGATGCACTCAGCCACTTAGTACGATTGACTCGTGTAGTCGAGTTCGCGCCTGCCAAAGTCATACGTGCGCCGACTTAAGCAAAGGAGAATTACATGTTGTCCGTATGATCTTTGCTACATATGAATTCATACGCATATAGACACGTGCGAAAAAAGTAAATTTTACATGAGAGAGCTGTTTTGGGCAAGCAAAAATACCCCGTAGACGTAACCTCGCGGTGTTTCTCTCACGACGGTATATGCCGTCGTTTAATAAATTGGAAAACTCAATGGCATGCCGGGAATATCAAAAACGTTTATATGCGGTGGGTCCGCATAAATTCGTATTGGGATAACGAAGCTGTACGCTGTCGTTGTATTAAAAGGTTCGTCCCGAGTATTCCGGTCACGAAAACCAATTCGGGACCATCCCCTCTCTGCAACGGCGTCTTCACCCTTCCACACAGCTGGGGGTCGTGGCGGGGAGGGGTGGAGCGTCGATGGACCAATTGACGGGCCGCGCGGTGTGCCAGGGTCTCGCCGTCATCGATCTCGGCGCCATTTGCCGAGCCCGTCCGTGCCGCCGAGACCCGTGACGTTTTTATCGGCACGCCGCAAATTGATCGTTGCGTACGAACCGGCGGTTTAACGTTAAGTGTCCCGTGCCGCCTCTCCTGCACCCCCAACCGTCTCCTCCCGAGGGGTGTAAGGGGTTGACCAAGCCCGTTAATTCACACGTCACTTGCGCCATACGGACCGTCATGTTTTTTAAATCGTGAACAAATAAAATTTAAGCGCAATGAAGGGGTGTTTGTTGTTGGTGGTTAATATTGCACTTATGTTGGTTTCTGACCTAAAATACATCTGATATTTAAATTAGTTATAATAATTCAGTTATTGTTGGAATTATTTAGTGTCGAATCAAGGTGAGCGAGGGAATCAAGATAAAATGTATAAAAAAGACCAAATGGAAAATTGTGTAATTCATTTAAACCATTTTCACACAATAATTTGTAGATTTATATTTATAATGTGCAGAAAGTGTTGAAATACTACAGAGATATTGATAACGATTCCTCTATGAGAGTATCATCGTTATCAATTAATATTTTGCTAATTAGTACGTAATTTTGAGGTATTCATTGACTGTGAAAAACCTCCGTGAAGACACCTTTGATTCATTTGGAGGTCTTTAAAGTTGAAATAGTCAAAGTTTCATGAATAAATTATTATGTACGCTTTTATTTTGACAAATTACATTATTTTTACCTGATCGAAAAAAATATGTCTGAAATATTCGAAAAATTTTCTACAACTTATTAATAATTATACATTTTACGAAGAGTTAACCTACAAACTTTATTGGATTAGCGTGTTGTAATTTCATTTGAAATTTCCACGTTAATCTTTTACAGTTAAATATTTTTTAACAGAAACTGTTTGTTATGATATAAGAACCGAATTCTATTAAATTAGTTTAAATGAAATTGTGTATGTATAAATTGTTTAAATGTGTTAAGCATAAACTTACCAAATATTTAGGAATAAGTTGCAAAATTTGTTCATTAAATATTTTCATGATATGCAAGTAAGGACATTCTTAGAAAGTATTACTTATTTAAATTATTGTTGAAAAATAATTAAAAATTACATCAGCAAGTTTAAAGTTATTTACGGATAAATTAAATATATTAATCTATAAATTACCGGTAAATTTGCAATACAAATTTACAAAATTTTCCATTTTAACGCCCCTATTGTGTATAAAACAAATTATAATGAATTATTGTTATACTACTATAAGTAATATAAAATAATTATTATGTATAGATAAGATTATTGTATAATTAAATAATAATTTTAGATGATAGTATATTTTTTATACATATTAATAATAAAACACTACAGTGAACATAGAAGATTCTAGAAAATTTCACGAGTAAAAACTTTTTTTTGAATAAAAAAAAAACAAATAAATTTCCTATTGATTTTTGGAAAACATTAAATACATAGAGTTAAAAAAATTTATATGGCATATAAGCTTATATTTTAATGGCCTCAAAATGAAAAGGTTCTAAATATTTTTTGATAATACATTAAAACATTATTGATAGCAGACTACTCAAAAATATTTATATGTAATGGGGTTCTTTTTATGCTTTTATAGTATTCATAAAATTTATAACTGAACCAAATTTTAAATATTTGCGGAACATTTTATTGTTTATGATAAAGTTAAATAAAAATTCTTTTCATTTACAAATAAAAACTTTCCCTGCAAAAAGTATTGCATTAACACGAGTATTACACATAATAGTGAATATGTTATACACTTTTTCCATGTGTTTATATTTAGTGCTACGTTTTTATACTCGAGTATGGGGTCAAAAATCGATAAAAAGAGTTTCAAGAAAAGTTCACAAATAAATACAAACTTTTCAAATAATACACTATAATATTACACCCTCTTAGAGCCACAAAGATGAAACACTCGTTTAACTTTCCTTTATTAAAAGCCGTTATGTATCATCTACTGCATTTTTATTTGATTTATTTTGCAGTTTTATTTTGTGATATAGTGTACACAAATATTACATTACTAAACATAATTTACAATAGATTATTTTTTACAAAGTAAAAAAAGTTTGGATACGATATAATGGGAGTCTTAAGCTCATAAATAAAGGGCTTCTACTAATGAGTAAATAATAATTATTATTTATTTAAAATTATATGGGAAAAAAATGAAACTATCTGCTTATTAGTAGAAGTTTATTTGTTAAATTTAATTTAATAAAATAGTCATAAAATAAAGAGCGAGTGGAAAACGATTGTTTTGAAGCTATTTTTCCGACTATGATACGGACATAGGTTTCCCATATGTCTAAATCTAGGCCTGAATTAAACGTGGAGATAACTTGAACATTTATTTTAAAATTCCAATTTGTTAAAATACTACTATCCCTAAGTACAATTGAGATTTATTAAAAATTAATTTATATCATTATTATTTTTCATCACACTATTGTCATAATATACCTGTACTGAGAAAAAAAAATTGTAATTATCACTACTGGTGTTACCAATGGGTTAGAAAGGACTGTTTCATAAAAAGGATTTATAAAAAGCATATGTATTGCCATAACTATGTTTTTAGAGAAAAGGAAAAATAAATTTAGCACTCTTACAAATTTTGCTCTACAATTGTGTTAACCAAGTATTCTCTATAAATTATTAATTAGTTTATCGATCCTTCACCAGCAAAAGTTTAGAAAAATAAAATAATTTTTTTAAATTATACTCGATTTTTATTTTCAAAATGCTGGTAGCCTTAGATGGTTTATCATTAGACAATTTAAACAACAACTATGCCATGCTCCTCGAATATGAGGGAAATCTAAAATTCTCTCTGAAATTACTGAACTGGGTCATTATTTAAATTGTTTAAATTTATATTTTAATGGTGTTGTAGAACCCTGTATTTTACCTCCTTGAACATTTTTGCCTAAAATATTCATTTTGTTTAATTGTAAAGCGTTTTAATAATTATTACTGTAACTATATATCATAATGAAAATAATATATTATTTTCATTATCAGTACAATATTATTTTTTATTTATTATTTAAAGTGCTAGTATCAGTAATAAGTAGAATATGTTTTTTATGATAAAATTATAAATTAAATTATACCACTCGAATATAAATAATTGGTTGCTTTTAATATTTAGATCGAGCGGAGAAAAGCATTTGGCCAAAAAAACAATGATCAAGATTGTTCTACGCTTAGTAGTATTCGTCTGATTTCATGCTCCGCCAAGTATTAATTGTGAAATTATAATTATAGTTACAGTTAAGTAGTTTAAAATTATATTACTGGTTAAGTATTGCTTGTGTGTTCTATACTATTTTAAGTTTTTCTCGAAACTGACCTTAAAAAGTCCAGGGAATCATTAAATATGTATTTAAAATGCCATCACTTTTGTTAACTTGGGCGGGATAAGTTTTTTATTTATAATTTTCTTGCCGAAAAGTGGTTTAACATTTACTATTTCCAAATAAATATATACCTTTCGCTTAATATTTCCTCAACTTATAAGCTTCCTTATAAATGGTAAGGTTATGTATGGATAATTATACGTTAGAGTTTAATTCCAATTTTTAAACTAACATATCTTTATATTTTCTTCGCCAGCAAAACAATTAAAAAAATACTTAGATATATACTTAGACATACTTAGATCGTGATATTTTAAGGTTTAAACCATATATTCAAAAGTGCGATTTAAGAGGCATCTTGAAGGGGCTTAGCTCTTAAAGATTAGAAAGTTATGATTTCAACAAAAGGTACTTAAAATTAACTTCATGGACAAGAAAGAACATTCGCAAATGACTATAATTCAAGAATCACTCTCATTTCAGCGGAAATTTCCTAGTCACTCTCTTTTTATCAAATAAGAATAATTCTATTATTACATTAACAGATTCAATTCATACGCTGATATCTAACTAGTCTTCAGTCGATAATTTAATACACCATAAAAACACATATTTATTGGTATTAATATATGAAATACATTGACTGTAAATATTATACATTGTTTAATATTTGCAGTCAGTACAAAATATCTTTACAGTTCTTCTCTTTCAAAAATAAAAACGAGTTTTTAAAAATATTATGTGTGCAATTACATCGAGATGTAGATTAGAGTAACAATCTAAAATAGCCGATACATTCAATAATATTTGAATACATGTGTTTGATACTGAACTTTCTAAAGCGTTGTGACAAAATGTGCAGAAATTTAAGTCGAATTGATGTTTTAAATAATTTGAAATAGGAAAAAAATAGCCACTAATCGGAGCTAACTTAGAATTATTTGTTTTTTTCTGGCGCTTAAGAAGTCTGCTATTGAAACTATTAACGTTGAACTTACCGACGGATTTCCCATACATCTTCTCATTGGATCCGCAGTATTCCGATAAGTCGGAGAATATCTTCCGGGAAAACAAGGTCCCGTGGCCGAAATGGGCAACGGCGGTTTGCCGGCCATCATTTTTTCGGATCCGTACATCATGGTCATCATACCATTCGCTTTTCCAGTTAGCTTTCCCGAGCTAACAAAAGTGTAACTAAATCGGCGGTCTTAATACTAATCTCACAGAACTATTGTTAGATTTTATCATCCGTATGCCATAATTGTTCCAGGGGAATAACGTCCGTAAAGTACGTCGATACCAACCGTATAGTTCAGTGGACGATTGTCTCGTATGAAAAACTCGCGAATATTTATGAACCACGTGACTGGACGCAAAAGCAACGACGACGACTACCGCGGCGAGAAAATACACTGTGCCGGAGGGCGGAACACAGTCGGTTTGGATATTATCCACGGCACTGTGTTCGCTCGATCCCGTGGGTTGGATCCTTTTGTGTGGTCGTCGAAAGTACGGGACGCGCGTGCGTTTAGGACGCCATCGCGATTCGCTTACCCTTAGTCGTTGGAACTATACGGTTAGCCGCTCTACAGCGCATGCGCTTATCGGGGGGTTAAACCGTGTATACAAATTTCGGTGTACTCGCGAATAATACACACTGATGGGTGTTTTAAACTTAACTACCCCCTCCCTCCACTGCCTCTACCGTCGCAAACGCGGTCCGTCTCATGACTGCGGCTGCTGCTGAGATCTCCCACCGCGCTCTAATTAACTGCGGGTATTTTACGTGCGTCTGAACTTTTACCAGAACTTTCCACCGCATCCTCACGTATAAAAGCCCGTACGCATCACATTTTAACTACACAACGGTTTTGTCTTAATGAGAATTTATCGGTTTTTCATGAGTTTCTCCCCTACTCTTATGGTAAATTAGAAGGTAATACAACTGTTTCTTTACTCCCTTATAATATAACTATAACTCGTACTATATGATTATTATGATAAGGTTTATTAATGATTTCACGATTATCTTGTCATTATTGTGGCCGTAAAGTATAAAAACTAATCTTTCAGACCTCTTAACATAAGTGAAATACTCTAAACAAATAATTGTGGCGCTTTTGAAAATTAAGTTAATAAATATTTGTCCATAGAATAAATATTTATTACTTTGACCGGTGTAATAAGCGTTAATAATAATAATCTAATGATAAAAAAAATGATGCTCAAAAGTAAAATTAATGGAATTTTAATTTCTGTTAGTTGTGTTTCTCATCGCGAAACAATTATGTTTTTAAAAATAAAACTGTAATACACTAACAATTATCAATCAACGAAATTAATACTGTATTTTTTACTAATTAGATTAATCAAAAATCATGATTTAATATTTAAAACTGAAATTGACATATTCTAATAATAATTCTATTTTTATCGCGTTTCAACAATATATATATATATATTTTTTTTTTAATAGAGAAGAATACTACCTTTAATGAATGGATTTATTGTTGGATCATACTTTTTAAATTTAAATATACTACAATATATCACTTAAATATCTCCAAAAGACTACGACACAAGGAAAAAAAGTTTATCAAAAAATTATTTTGATATTAGTTTGTTAATTGAAAAATCCTGAGTATGGACGTGCATTTTTTTCATAAAATATTTATGTAGTGTGATACCAGATTCAAATTAATTTTACAGTCGTTCATGAGTTTTACTTTTGTTAGGAAGACTTTTTTATGATCGTCAATTAGTTTGCTAATACGAGGATACAGTTTGTAATTAATTTAATGCGTAAGTATTTGTGATTAGTTTTAAATTAAGGAAAATATTTGTATTCTATGACGGATTTAATACAACAAAATTAAGGCTTTGCAAAAAGGGAATAAGAATAAACGATGGCCAAGGATTAGCAACTAATTAAAAAACGACGTTTCCATGGATTCGTTTTTTTCATTATAACTAATAAATATAAGTAATAATAATTAAATTTGTAGAGAACTAATAATTGGAACGCATTAAATATATATTGAATCATGATTTCTGTCGAATATTAGTCGATGTTGTTAGTTTTCATGTTTTCGAACTATTGTTTTGACCGTTATATTAATAAATTCTATATTTCAGAGAAAATTACCATAAACGTGTGTTATGTATCCTTAATTATACGGTATCTTTTTTGAAATAATTACTTTATTAACGAAAATTACAATTAAAGAAAGAAAAAGGGTATTAATTACAACAATTATACATCGCCTTTATATTTTTTAAAAAAACCTTTCCACATAATTTAATAATATTAGAATATAAAATATTCAATTGAATAGCAAAAAATGTCTTATTTATGTCACAAAAAAAATATCTTATTAATTTTTAATTATCAAAATATATGATTGAAAATGTTAGGATTCAGTTTAAAAATATCTACAAAATAAACTTTATAAGTCGCTTAAAACAAAGCGTATCGTTTCATTTATTTAATTTAGACCTTATAATTGATATTTTCATTTGTTTGAAAAATGTTTTAATGTCAAATTTGTTTTTTCAATATTGTCGAATTTAAATACAAATTAGAAGGACTAACAAGAAGAATATGCATTAAAGGTACTTGTCCATTCCGAAAACAGTTAACGGTAGAAATATAAATATCCCCAATACTTTCATTGTTCTTAATGATTATTTTAGCCTCAAATGCGACCTTTAAAGTCTATATGCCGTATAATGTTTATTATTAGTTGTATCGAATGTGATCCGTGTAATTTAACAAACAGCAAACACGGCTCTTATAGGACAGCCATCGCCCTTTACGATTCCCAGGACAATCTACTCGGCATAGACCCTTTTAGATTTACGACATATGCGTGGTATTATAATTTTGGTCTATAAAAAACACCAGAAAGAATAAATTGGAAGCAATCGGGTATAAGGCATTTGCAGCGCAAGCTGGAAAATAAGAAAAAATATATACTGCATTGTAATGCTCGCCAACCGAACTGACTCAATTATTAATATTCTATTAGACCCAGAGTATTGTGTACCTGCCGTGCCCGAGAGCATAAAGTGACTTTAATATCCACACGAAATGGGTGGAAAAAGGAAGAATGAGCAAAAAAAAAAACAGTGTAGATTTTTATATTCTTTTTTTCGTGTTTTACTTCCTTGCCTCACAGTGCCGCTTTTTCCTACGCAAGTGAATAAAAATGGACCGAGGGCATTCGTCTCGCTTGTTGTGGCCCCACGGGGAGATATTTCTCTTTGCTGCAAAAACCGGATACGATGTAGGAAAAACATGTCGAATTGCTCTAGAATACACCGAACGAGTATCTTTTATGTTTTTCCCTTTTAAATTACCAAATTTGTTCATAAGATGCATTGCTACATTATGTACTTAAAAATACGCAAATAACTGTAAAAATATCATAAACTTCAATAAATAAAGTGATTACTTATGAAATAAAATTTTTTTTTATAAAAATGTATTATTTTTCTTTGCAAAATATATCACAAAATATAAAATCAAACTCTTATATCTTAAAATCATATTTGATTCATTATTTGAGTTTTTAAATGGTGGCATACATGATTTAAGTAGCTTATATTAAGGATTATTGTTTGATTATAATTTATGCATTATTTTTAAAACTATAAAAAAAATCACATTTTTCCCCAAAAGTATCCTACGTATTATGATTTTCAAAAAAAAAAAGAAGTAGTCTTATCCTCCTCTTCCTTAAAATTATGCCAACTTTCGTTTTTTATATGAAAAAAAATGTGATATGAACACGATTAACTAAATAAAAATGAAATGATCCAACTAAGAAACTAACCAGTGTTTTAAAAGTTATTAACACTTTAATATAACAAATGGTGGAGAAGTGCGGATCTACTTATTTTTATCTCTAGACATTTATGAACTACAGAACTTCTTCTATTCTGGTATAAAAATGTTTATATTTAGTGTAGAGCTGATAAAAAAGTAGTTATCGATCGGTAATTTTCTTAATTAGATCATTATTTCATTTATATACTGGTTAAATATACACGCTTCTATATAAAAAGCAATAGTTAACACAACATTAAAGGGAATAACCAATTTTTTTTTTTTAAATCGTAGAAAATAGTATATTATTTATCTTTGAGAAGGGGTTTGACAGAAACCATGCATAGTGCTTTTGTTAAGGTTGTAAACTCACAGCTAACTAATTTTTCTAACAACATCGCTAAAATTTCAATAAATAGCCTCATAAAGTAGTATTTTTTAATATCAACACCTTTAAACAGTATTTACTGTCCTAACGCTAAACTTTAAGAGTTTCTCAGCGTGTAAAGGTGAGGTACTTACGACCTTCTACGCAAAAAGCAAATATGATATTTTCTGTTTGTGTGAGACACACCTGGTCTAAGAATACCAGAAATGAACTTAATTATTGAGGTACTTAACGTATTTTACCACGTAAAACCACCTAATTTTGAATATAGCTGTGTTAAAATAGTAGCTGGAGATTTCAACAGGTCTAACTGGAGAAATTGATTATCTAATAGAAACGGTAAAAAGGTTCGAGATTAGACTGATTTAGAACTAATCGATTTAATTCACAATTCTAAACTTCAAAATTCATTTAATTGTGGACGATAGAATAGAAGATGCAATCCAAATCTAATCTTTGTAAGTAATAATATAAGCCAATAATGTTATAAAGATGAATGCTCTACCATACTAATAAACCAGCACAGAGTACTAAAATTACAAGTACACGAAGTTATTAAGTATGAAACAGTACCATTCAAGAAGAGTTTTAATTACAAAAAACTAACTGGTAAAAATACAACGAGGCCATACTATCGATGGCCTCACTGTCTTTAAATCACCAGTCTGAAAAAAATGAAGAAGCTTACACCAAGAGATATAAAGATGACTTAGCAAACACAGTCCAAGATATACCATTCAATAATATAAAAAACAAACTAACAAATGCACTAAAAATCATGAACTTGTAAATTGAACTTATTCAACTGAACTTTTAAGAACGTTCCAGAAATCCTGATACCTTCAAATATATTTTAAATTATGTAATATACTTTATTTCGAAAAAAAATTATCCTCAAGTCTTGTTTTCACTTCTAATAAAAAAATTAGCAAATGATACTTTTTATTAAAGTTATACAAATAATGTGACGGTTTTTATCTACAGTTTGATTTATTCAGAATAATAATCATTATTTTTTCGTAAATAATTTTTTTTTCATAAAAATGTATAAATTTACATACGAATTATTTTTACAAGTCATAGATAATATCCAGTTTATTCTAAGAAAAAAATGTTTCTAAAATTAAATTTTAAGGGTAACGTTTCAGTTATTATTATGAATAATAACAACGAAAAAAGAAAAACAACAACAAAAATGATAAGGCAAAAAAGTACTTTTTTCTTGAAAATAGCTTCCAAAAATGAAAAAAATTATTTTTCCA